CCAGCAGTTAGCATCATGGCTATGTCGCTGGACTCCCATGTAGTTGACCGCAGTTCAAGTCCCAGACCCGGTGGCTTAAACTTATGCTGGGCACGTGTGTGTGTGCGCCCAAGATCCTGAGGGGAGAATGGAGGAGAAGGGATTGCGGCATGGCCATCCCCCCTGGGGTGTGATTTCTTACTTTCTGTCTCTCTGTCTCTCTCTGTCAGTCTGGCGCAAAAACCTCTCAAAAAATAAAACAAACACACTAGGGGGGCCAGCAGATGGGGTAATGGTTACGTCACTTGACTCCCACATAATCAACCATGGTTCAAGTCCTGGATCCACCCAAAAATCACAGGAGAATGAAAGAGAAGAGATTGCAGAGTAGCCATCCCTCCTGGGGGTGGCGAGAGAGAGTGAATTTTCACTCTCCCTCTCAGTGTCTCACTCTGTCTCTCCAGGCAAGCACACACACAATAAAAGAAAAAAAGAAAAAAGAAGACTTAATTTATTCTCTTTTATTTTAGTTACCAGTTCAATAAAATATTTGCCCAACTTATAGTTATCAATTATACATTTGGTGTCAAATATTCTCGTCTATATAAGCATAGAACATTGAAAATTGAATGTAAAATAAAAAATATTATGTAATGAGAACTTTTTATTTTAAAAAACCAAGCACATATTTTTAAAATTATTTCTTTAATTTTATTTATTCATTTATTTATTTTAATTTGACCAGATTGAAAGAGAGAGAGAGGGAAAGTGAGAAAGCAAGCCGCGAGGTCCAAGACTCAAACCATGGTCGGCCATGTGGAAGTGCCCAGCGCCTCAACCACCACGCCACCTGCTGGCCCCAGCACATAATTTATTTTTATACAATAACTATTTGAAAGGTTGTGTACTGATTTCACTGAAATCACCTTTTTAGAGTCATCACTTGGAATTGCCTTCAGAACATGTTTCTGAGACTCTCACACTCCAAGTAATGTACCCAGGTTGATAATGATTTTTATTTATCTATTTGAATTTAACCTATTTGGGGAAGGTTCAAGTAGTACATTTTTTTTCTCATTTCACAGACTACAGAATTGCCACTATATATCCGTTCATATCAGTCCATACTTCCAAGAATGTAAAGGCATATCTAAAAACAGACATTTGACAGAAGCTCTGGAATAGGATGGATAAGGCACATGAGCATGTGGCCTTTGAAGAAGAGCAGGTTCCTCTGCCTTTCTGGAACTCGTGGGAGCCACTGTGAGTCGTGCGCTGTTCAAGATCTGCCCTACCAAATGTGGTGGCCTGCTTCTCAAACGTGCATCTGAAGAACACATTTTGAGTCCTTACTCAGAGCTCAAATACTCAGGTTTGCTATTTTTTCCCAAAAAAATCAGAAAACTTGCGGAAAATCAAGATTAAACCCAAGTTGGCAAGGCTGTGTCCTGTCAAATCTAACAAGCTGTGTTAAACCACTGATGTACGCACCATCTTGACCATACGTTTTCTGATGAAATGTGGATTCATGAAGGCGACGAAGGTCCAATACCACAATTTAGAACATTATCACACTGTGATGCTTTAGAGAGAGAATGACTCTTGTCAATCGATACACATTTGTCTGAAAATTCCTCAGACGCTCATTTTCTGAGGTGGAATCGGCAATGTGATTGATTATTCATTGGGAAAAAAACCACTCTTGGGTATCTCAACAATAAACTAAGGTCTTTGGTAGATCAATAACTTTCCCTCTAATCATAAGAGACCCAGTACATCAGAAAAGTCATCAGCGAAAACATTAAAAGATAAGTACCAGCTGTTTGGGCAGCCCATGGAGGAGGACAGAACGCAGCAATACGACACGGTGGCCATATGCTGGGGAATGAGCAGTAATGGGAAACATTCATAAACAAAGACTAACCTTGTCTGAGTGATTCAGCCGCACAGATACCGCGTCCATCTCCTGGCATGGGCTCTTCTGAACGCAGATCACTCTGCCGCTAGGCTGCCAGGCCAGGGTCTTGTCCTTCCTTATGCAGGCTACAACCCTGTGACTGTCAATAGTTTTGCATGCATAAGCACTTGAAGATTATCCTAACCCCCAAATTAGCATAAGATATTCTGTGCAAAATTATTCACATTAAAGGCTTTCTTTGTCAATTTTCAAATTGGCCTTGCTGTGGCCTTGTGTTTCTAATCAGTTTAGAAATCTTTCCCTTTCTCTAATCCCATTTCCTTGGTTCCCAGCCTGACATTCCTCCTCCTTCCTGTCAAGTGGGTTACTTCTGCTACATTTGCTGGAGCCCAATACGTTCAGGGTAGGGAGAAAAGAATAAAAGGAATCTGCCCCACTAAGGTGCCTCGAGTCAAGCTCGTTTTCCCTGCCTGGATTTGAGCAGATATGACAGATTTATTTTCCCCAGGAGTCTGCTATCTTCCACTGAAATTTGAACATAGTGACACATTTTCTGTATATTATTCAGGAGTGCAGATGAAATATGCCCATCTCTATAGCAATGACTCTTAAATTTTTTTCTAATATTCATAATAAAGAGCACATGCATACACACGTGAGAGAGGAGAGAGAGGGAGAGAAAGACATCCTCCACAGAGTCTTGCCATGCAGCGTTCTCCCATCTCTCCAGTTCGTCACAATCTTGGACACTCCCAAGAGCACTCAGTATGTTTTCAGCCTGGCCTGAGGATCCAAACCCTTGGTTGGCCAGATGGCTCCCAGCACGGCAATCCAGTATACTATGAATTAGGCTGGGCCTTCTTTCTTTTTCCTCTTGAATTAATTTTATTATTTATTTATCATTATTTATTTTAAGAAACAGGATCTTGCTCTGTTGCCTAGTCTGGACTAAAATTTGCTATCCACCTGCTTCAGCTTCCTGCGTAGCTGGGATCGCAGGGATACATCCCCGCACCCACTAGCCATCCCTGCACCCACTAGCCATGACTCTACTGAATGTAGATTACTCACGACAGTAAAAAGCAGGTGAGCAAACCTGGACAATAAAAAGCCTACAAGCTCCACACAGCCCTTGCCAGATGTGAGCCCTAACTGAGTCAGCCATCAGCAGGTCAGACTGTGGACTTGACCATGGAGCTGGGGTTCAAACACTTAAGAGCCACATCCTCAGGCCTGTGGTAGGGCCAGGGAGATCAGAACGCAAGACTGCATTATGATGGGACCATCTCTATGTCACAGTGGTAATGTTCTACTTAGGAAAGAGGCCAGATCCTACATGGTGACCATGGTTTGCATTCCCAGCCTGGCCAGCCACATGCCATCCCCAGGACCTGAGAGGCTAGAGGACCAGAGGATGGGGGTTGTGGCATGACCAGTCCCTGTGGAAGTGCTCCTCTCTCTTGCTCTGTCTCTTACTGTCTCTTGCTCTTGCACGTGCACTCTGGTGCTATCATAAAAAATATCTATCCTTAAATACACACACACACATTATAATGATTTTTAAATGTTGGGTTTTATATTATCTATCATTTTAATTAAGGATAGATCATTTTAGTATTTATTTATTATTTTTTATTTTAAGAAACAGTCTTGTGGTGTTACCCAGGCTGGACTCAAATTTACTATCCACCTGCTTCAGCCTCTCGAGTAGCTGGGATTGCAGGAGTGCACCTCTGTACCCAAATAGCAATGACTCTACAAAATTACAAAATATTTGCAATAAGTAGAGGCACCAGTTCTGATGGGGTTGAGAACCACTGGACTAGGTGATAGTTTCAGGGCCCTCTACCTTAAGATCCTCTCCTTAGGGTAAGGACAGTACCTTTTCCTGATCCTGACATTAACCAAGTCTCAAAATAATACCTTATGTAACTGTTTTGCACACACTTGACTAAAATAAGTGGTGCAGTTCAGCATCACTGCACATCAGCACTTTTTTCCAGATTACCCACCCACCATGTAAGGAATCCTTCAGCACTTTTTTCCAGATTACCCACCCACCATAAAAGGAATCCCTGGGGAAGTAATTGCTACATGTGAGGCGGCCAGCAAAACCCAGCAGGGTGTGCCAGCTAAGTAGGTGTCCCCGGCAGGAGACTGCATTGCCAAGGCCTCACGTCAAACGTCCACGTGAATCTTTAGCTCTCTTTGAGAGACACTAGGTGCCTAAGAAGATAATAAACTGGCTTAATAATACCAGGAGCTTTGCTCTTTGAAAAATTTTAAATGACTTACGGCTTTAATGTTATCTTTAATATTATAGTGCTATAATTCTCCTTGAATTGTAAAGTGAAAAAGACTCACAAAGCCAGAGTGGAATTGAAGAGCATGTGTGTGTTGGAGGATGTTTGTGGCGTGTGTATGTGTGTATGTGTGTGTGTGTGTGTGGTGCATATGAATACACTCTGTGTCTGTGTGTGAGAGCATGCTCGCTGGTCAAAGTAGAGAAGAAGAAGAACTGGCAGAAGTTGTGGTGATTAAGGTGCTGGACTCCCATTTGGCCAGCTACAGTTTGGGTCCCAGACCTGGTGTATTGCTCTCTCTCTTTTTCTCTCTCTGGTCAGATTGAATAGCAATAAATAAAATTAAATGAATAATTCTTACACACACACACATATATACATATATATGTGTGTATATATATATATATATTTTTTTTTTTAAATAGAATAGAATCCAAAAACAAGACCAATGTGAACTAAGTTCTTTTTTTTTTTTTTTGGAGAGGTTTTTGTTATAGGGCGTGTGCGCTCACCAGAGAGACAGAAAGTGAGCAATCACCCCCTGGGGCAATCCCTTCTCCTCCATTCTCCTCTCGGGATCTTGGGCAAGCACCCATATACACCCGGCATGAGCTTAAGCCACCAGGTCTGGGACTCAAACCGTGGTCAACTACATGGGAGTTCAGCAACATAGCCATTATGCCAACTGCTGGTCCCATCCAACGTGTACTAAGTTCTGACCAGGCTACCTCAAACCAATGGCTCAAAGCTCTATGAAGGGACTCGATTTCTTCTAAGCCAGGAAGGTAGTCCTTTAAACTCATAAAAGCTAGAGTTAGGATGATCTACCTGGTCTGTACGTCCACCAAAGTCAGTTGTTGATCAGGAGCTACCCGATCGTCCACTTCCTGCTCACTGGACATTCAGCAGAGATCAGTGTCTGGAGGTTGGAACCCGACTCCTCAGTGCTGACATGTTGCCTCCAGGCTGTCTGGGAATTACAGAGGCTGGTTAATCACTCAGCATCTCTTCCTTGACTCCTTCACCTGTAATACTGGGATGCTGGTCAGAGTTTCCACCTGTAATTCCTCCTAGGGGTGTGGTGATGGTTAAAGCAATAATGTTTTTCAAGTACAGAGGCATTCAGATTTAAGACACTACATAATTAAACACATTCTGCTTCTAGTGACATAGGCTGATGTAATTGCAAGCTAGAAAAATAAGATTAAACCAGGTGGCCCTAGGACAGCAGCAATGCTATTTGTCTTCCTCTCATGATTTGGGACTTGCCTCAATATAAAAGAAGATCCAGTCCCCAAAAAGTACACATCAGGTTTTGGAAAGAAATGTTTTCATTCACTCGGTTTTCATTTCATCAGTAAACAAATGTGTACAACTCTCTTCTACAGACACTTCATTCTTGGCTGAAGATGGAGTCGATAATAAACAGTGCATTTACTTGTTCACCATGTTATTCGTAGCTCAGAGAGCTTTAAAAATATTAATGTTGCTTTTAAAGCAGGGAGGCTTTAAAGTTACACCAGCTAGCCTGAGTAAATGCTTTGCATATTGATTTTCTCACTGAGAAAAACAGGTCAGTCTCGCGCCCGTACATAATGGGCACCCTGTCCTGCCTTGCACCTGTTCTACTGCTCAATGCATTGGCTATTAGGAAACGCCTTACCACCCAAGCCAGTGTTGATTGCAATAGATCCCGGCACATCACTATGAGAAGTTCAGCAGTGCCAAGTCTGTAAACCACAACAGTGGTATCAAATATATTGAAAGATAACAAGAAAAGTGGCTTGAAGAACTGAGCTCTTTGCCAATAGACCCTTCTTCTGTCAAATCATGCTTATAACAGAATGTGTTGAGAAGTTCTGTCCCATAGTCAAGCAACTGAAAACACAATGCTGATTCTATTCCTTCAAATATGCTTCAAGTCCTTGGTCTAAACGGACAAAAAAAAAAAAAGGCAGAAGTGAAGTACGAAGGGACTGGCAGGTGGAGTTGTGGTTAAGGATGCTGGATTCCTACATAGCCGTCTGCAGTATGAGTCCTGGACCTGGCGGCTGGCTTTCTTACTTTCCCTTTCTCTCTCTCTCTCTCTCTGCCTCTCTCTGGTCAAAAAATAATCACAACAAAAGGAATTAAATAAATGAATCTTTATAAAACAGAAAGTAAAGTACAAGTGTTTATGAGGCAGCTTGGATTGAGGAGGCCAATAGAATGTGAAATAGGAAAGAAAAAAAAAAAAGATTGTTTCTGGTTGAATATACCTTGTGACTGAGTGAAATATAAGCTTGACCAGGTGCCACTTTATTTCCTTTCCAAGGGAAAAAAGTAACATTAGAAAAATGTTCCCATTGGGAGAATCCAATAATATATTAAAAGAAGTTGCAGTTTGACATCTCTAAGTATGAGAAGTCTTGGGTCTAGCAGGTGGCATAGTTAAGGGCTCTGGACTCCCACATGGCCAACCATGGTTCAAGTCCTGAACCTGTAGGCTTACTTTCTCACTTTCTCTCTCTCTCTCACTGTCCCTTTCTGATCAAATTAAAATAAATAAATAAATGAAGTTAACTAAAATAATTACTTAAATAAAAAGTATGAGAAATCTTCCAAAAGTTCATGGAAAATGTATGTTATAAAAAACTTACATGAAATTCAAAAAAATTGTTTAAAGAATTATTTTATTTATTTATTTATTCATTTATTTATTTAAATTTGACCACAGAGGGACACAGAGAGAGAGAAAGCAAGCCACCAGGTCTAGGACTTGAACCACAGTTAAGCGTGTGGGAGTCTAGCACCTTAACCACCATTTCATCTGCCGGCCACTAGAATTCAAAATTTTTGCATCAAAATAAACATTTACTTGAATCCCAATTCCCCACAAATGTTTTGAAGTCCCCTTGTGTAGTACGGTTGCTTCATCCAGTTCGGACCACAGCCAGTTTACCTACGCCCGGAAACCAAGCATGGTCCTTCACATCAGCTGCACCTGGACTACGAAACTTTGAAGTCATCACAGGAGCTTCACCCATCACAAACGTGTCCTGATTTCTAACAATTACTGCTTTTTTTTTTTTTTTTTTTTTTGAGAGATTTTCACTGTAGGGCGCGTGCGCTCGCCAGACAGACAGAGAGAGACATAGAGACAGAAAGCGAGAAATCACCCCCCAGGGGGGATGGTCACGCCGCAATCCCTTCTCCTCCATTCTCCTCTCAGGATCTTGGGCACGCACGCACACGCGCCCGGCGTGAGTTTTAAGCCACCGGGTCCGGGACACGAACCGCGGTCGACTACGTGGGAGTCCAGCGACATAGCCATTACACTAACTGCTGGTTCCCTAACAATTACTGCTTTTGAACATAAGCCATCCTCAAAGGGGGGCTCCAGCTCTCATTGTGAAAGTACATTCATAACTGCGTTGAACATATCCCTGATCACAGCCCCAGCCTGTGCTACATGATGTATTTATTAGTAATAAGGAGCAAAGTACCCCTTTGAAAACTAATTAAAATGGAAAAGTCTATTTCTAGTTCTTTCTTCATCCAAAGTAAGGGAGAATGGGGGGATGGAAGATCATTTCTAAATGCTCTTTTTTCCTTTCTTTCCTTTTTCTTTTCTAGAGGGCATATGCATTTGCCAGAGAGAGAGAGAGAGAGAGACCTCGGAGAAAGCACCCTTCTCCCATGAGGCACGGTCATGCTACAATCCCTTCTCCATCTTTCAGGACTTTGGGCATGTACCCAGCGTGTTTTTCAAGCTGCTGGTCCTTAGACTTGAACTGCTAGGTGGCTATGTGGGATCGAGCTGCCCTAATCCCCAGGTCATAGAGCCAGCCCTCTGAGATGCTCTTAACAAACTCACTTACACTGAAACTCTATGGTCTTTGAACCATGGACAAATAGCCCCAAATAGCCCATACTTGAATGCTACTGCCCAGAAAGAGGCAAAAAAGAGGAACCTCTCTCCACCTTAACTACCAAAAAGAAGGTCAAATCTTAAATAACTGGTAGATCCTTCACTACCATCACCCTCCACTTACACACACACACACTCGTGTGCACACA